AAATGCAATTCCTCCTCTTCATAGTCTGTGCTTCAGATTCTATGTGTGTTGTCTACGACGTCTTGTTTTGCTCCGCGTAGTCCCGATTCGTTGGAAGCAATAGCCAGTATATGTCAGGTATGAAGGTGGCTACTTCTGGCTGACTAGTTACGAAGACAGTGTATTTTCAGCTTCATCAAGTTCCACATCTTGTAAATAATGCATATGGACTTCAAAGCGAGGAATGTATACGAAGGCTCAATGCGGTAAGTTTCATCTGCTGCGGGTGCGCCAGTATTGAATCATTGCTATTGACGGTCATTCACTACAGAGGAGCTTCCCAAACGGGAACGTTGCCGGTTTATTGGTGTACGCCACGCGTTCGATTTCACGTTAGGATTTCTGACAGTTCTCACGCGTACCTCACTTCTAGCACACCTATGGAGAACTGGGTCATGTTGAAGCCAATTTCCTGTCCTGTAGTACTTCACTTAACAATTCTGAAATGGCGAGAAGCTTACTGACGTCTAAAGTTCTCGAGTTAAAGCGTTGAAGGATCTCGTCCAGTAATGGTGGTGGTAATTTCGTCAAAGTTGCCGCCGCCTAGAGAAATTGAATTGGATCCCAGGTCACTTGTCAACCGGGTGGTTAGGTGATTCAGCGTTTTGTAGTGTTCTCTGGGCACTCTCGCACATGCACACTATTACAGCATCTCTGCTTTCTTTCCTTCCTTCAAAAGGCTTAGTCCTTAGTAAGCACAAAGTATGTGCTTTTCTGTCTGGACTCTCCCACGTTGGTTGGCAATTGCCCCGTCTTTCCAATTTTTACAGGAGGAGGAAATCGCCGGAGTGCGTGAACTATCTCGCTTCCACTTCTACACCCATTTCGGAGCTTCCATCCCCTGCGAAAAATTGGGTTAGTTAGGTGATATGGGTTGCCGCATCACATGCCCCCTCTTGCTGGATGAGACTCGCTTCAAATTATTTCTACATACCTCTTTCTTTCTACAGCGCGACGTGTTCCACACATGATTTGTTCGAAGTTGATTCTGCGATGTTTTCAGGGTCGAGTAGCTGGTCGTATCGATGCATTCGTGCAGTCACTCGACAAAAACTTCCAGGTTCATATATTTTACTATTTTATCTCTATGTGATCTCTTAGATTTGTTTCGTGCATTTTGAAAAAAAATTACTCCTTCAAAAAATTAACCTAAGATTTAATTACTGATATTCCAGCAAGTTTCGCAAATTTTTTCTTTAGGTTCCTGTTGGTGGAGCTATCATAGCAGTATTCAAGCAAAGCGCCATTAAGACAATAGCTCAATTTTATCCAGGTAGTTTTAGCTTTCAGCAATGAATCTCTATGAAAGCATTTTCATATGTGGCTTTGGAAACATTTTTGGAAGATGGTATGATAACATTGTCGTAGCAGTATGTTCCTGAACTTGTTTGGAAATGCTTCCACACTGGGACCGGACCGAGTGTAGGATATAGGAAAAAGAAATAAAGAAGAATATAAATGGATAGCTCTTTTTTGATGACCCTATTATGGAACATTCACCATGGATGAGCGTGTGCAGGAGAATCGAAGCTTGCAGAAAGGATATTAGGATAAAGATATTTCTTCATAAGGTTGGCTCGTATATGGGTAAAAAAGGGAGGGGTGAGGGGGGCGGAGGGGCAGGACGGGGAGGAGAAATGCAATACCTCACTGCAAAAGTGAGCTAAATGCCTGCGGTAGATGGCGCTTCTTCAAAGTAGATTGGTTTCGCAATGAAAGGTTTTCCAAAAGGCTTGAAGGCTCAAGTCTTGAAAAAACGGTAATGATGGAAGGGAAGAAGATGGAATGAAAAATTCATTCAGTGGAAGGGGTCTACATGAATTGAGTGTACCCTAGACCAGTAGCTAGTCATTCGTTTCTGCCATGAGACACCTGAAATTAAAGGAAATTTGTGAATGAGAAAAAGTTTTTTGGTCTGACGTAATATAAATATGTATGTAGTAGCGCACTGAGGTGAGGGCGAGGTGTGTACCACTGTGGACGAGAAGAAGTCTGCGCTGTGAGCTCGTACTCCGGTTTAGGATATCCCATGACGGGAGGAATTTGTCTATAAAAAAAACACTTTTCAAAATATATTCCGATGGTATGATCGGCACATGGGCTTCTATTATCACCTTATCGGAGCTACTTCGCTCAAAAATCAAGCCAGAAGTGCGAAGCGTAGGATTGCAAAGGAAAACGGATGAGAAACCGCTGAATCATCGCCGGTATAACTGGAAGAAGCACTTTTTTGATTCATGACGAAGCTACCCGAAAAGCCGCTGGGTGCCACGTAGAGAGCGGACGAGAAAGAGCATGGAAGACGTGCGAGGCGCAGACACGAGCCATGTTGGCCGTCGTATCGCTGCGCAGCTCAAGGTTCAAGCGCTGTTGGCACAAAGTTGGCCGCAGGAGGAGCACATATTCTTCACTTTCTTTATGGGGCCATCACGGGAGGAATTAACCCTTCTAGCTTAATCGTGTTATATCCCTTTGAGTGCGTAAAAATCTAAGACTTATTCGAAAAACTTTTTTGAAGGATGGACCATGGCATGAAAGCAGCCCCTGCATTTCAAATTCTTTCCAAACCAAGTTTTGAAGGTCGTGCCTCATGTGTACCATCACGAGACCTAGTGCTCACTCTGCTACACCAGGGACGAAAAGGATTGCTGGAGTCTTACGATACGCAACGGAGCGTTTGACCTAGGGCTCACATTCATATTTCATACAATAAAACTTCTTTCGAATGGTTCCATATCACACCAGTGCTTGTCAATTTCCTTTACTCCAGGTTATTCAAAAAAATGAAAAGGCGTTTGATAGCGTTTGCGGCAGATATTGGTGAATGCGTTTACGATGTCGACGATAATCAAATAAGTTTAGGTATCTTTTCTGCGATCTAAAATTATAAGAGAAAATTGGGTGCTAACTTAGTTGGGGGGGGCACGCGGCGGCGCGGCAGTCTGCTCGCCTGGCATGTTCGGAAATCCGTGGGCCAGGGGGAGTGTAGGCCAGTCTAGGGGGTGGGGGTGGGGGCAGTCACTTGACATGCGTGAAAAGCTGGAATGTTCGAGTTTACACTGTCTCGCTCGAGAGAGCCCAGGTGAGCAGACTGCCGCGCCGCCGCGTGCCCCCCCCCAACTAAGTTAGCACCAAATTTTTCGAATACATTCCTTCATAGCTCAGCTAGCTGCTCAAACGAAGAATTGAAAGTGTACAGGAAGTAAGTCGTGGAAAAAAAAACGCTTTTCAAATCGCGCCCACCTTTCAAAAGCAATAGTTTACATGTCCACTTCATACAGGGATATGCATGCGATGAAGGGAAGCTAGGCCCTCAAGCAAACGAGAGTGGTGCGTTTCGCGCGGGAAGAATGCGCCCATAGCGACCTATTAAAGCGGTAGCGGCCGCATTTGCAGCTCGGCCCGCCTCGAATGAGCCGTCTCAGCCACTGGACCGTGTTCATCAGCGCCCTAGTTCTCGCACTAGAAAGCCAGAACCCTGAGTCTACATTAAAGATGTTTGTTGTCGTTGAATATCGTGTACATCTGAAGCCAATGGTGTGAAAGGGACGGATTGAGCCGTATCTCCTGGTAGTACCTTTACTGGTAGGTCGCTTAGCACCTCTATTTACATTCCCAATAGCTAGATAGCGTGCTTATTGCCTTTCAATGTGATTGCTATAATCTTTTGGGTGGCGTCTAAGTATGAAGAGCCGGAAGTAAGAACGGTGGTATACCGCGCTCCTAAAGTAAAATGGAATAGCAGTAGGCATTTCCTGATATTTTTTTTTGGCGCTATCGCAAGGTACGGCCACATTGTGTTCGCATTGCATGTAAAACTGCGTAAAAACCTTTTCATTAAAAACGAGAGTAAGCGTCAGGCGAGGGAGAAGAGACTCCAGGTTACGTGAATTCCGGTTGGTTACGTTATTCGTCACGGAGTTCTTGCCCTCTTCCAGACTTATTTCTGGAAGATCCCCCGTGTCTTGCGATATTGCGATTGCGGCAGTATTTTTTTTGGAACTTTTCATGGGGAATAGAATAATCTGATGGTTTTATAATAGTTCGCGCTTGACGACAACCCTTGCTTTTTAGTTATGGAATTAACAGGATTGGTGAAGTATAATGTCTTTCTAATGTTGAACCACTCTTATGCTGTTTTTTCAAGGTCTAATGGTCATTTTGACAACTTGACTAACTATTTGCAATGAAATAAAATTGTCTGGAAATGGCTACAAAAATGAAAATCTGCATTCAAGCTAATTGACCTCACGCAATATTTCAAGAACTAACCTTTCAGCGATGACCCTCTCATCAATACCGCAGGAGAAACAAACGCTTTGTTGGTTCTATCCTTTTCAATCGAGGTATCACTGGTGCACGGTGAGTTCTGGAGTTTTATTATAACTTTTAATATGAAGGGTAAAAGAATTGGAATAAGGGTTATCTGCTAGTTCTTAAAGATCAATATTGATATTGACAAAGGCAAGTTATTCGAGTTATGATTTTCAAATAGAGGTGGTGGACAGGGCTTTTGCAGCGAGAGAGTGTGAGGTTTGGAATCTTTTATCTGACGTCGCCATCAGAGCGACAGGAGCTTTTGTTTTGTTGCTCGGCTGTCGAGTAAGCATCATTCTCATACACTTGAGGCACGCTTTGATAGAAGGTACTGCTGCTGTCATTCGGGATGCCAAGAATGTAAATTGTGCGGAGATGGAGAAAGGGTAGTGGTGCACTGCTCAAGTTGTTATCCTACTATATATAATTCGCTAAGTATGTCTGTGTGTGTGTGTGTGTGTCTGTCTGTACGTACGTCCGTCTGTCACGAAATTCATAGCGCGCTTCGCTGCAGGCATGGAACGCTGTATTTTGAGTATGGTGTAGGGGGTGGGACGGCAACATATTTGGTGGGGTTTATAAAGTGATACCGACTGATAAGATCTGATAAGAGGCGCCAAAATTTCATGATATTCATAGCGCGTGTCCCAGCAGTGGTGGGGCGTTGGTTCCAAGAAGTGATGTACAGGTGGGACGGGAACATGTTCGGTGGGGTACAGGAAGTGATAAGGGCTGATAAGGGTTGATAAGAGGCGCTGAAATGCAAATTTCACGAAATTCATAGCGCGCGTCCCAGCAGCAGTGGGGCGTTTGTTCCAAGAAGTGATGTACAGGGTGGGACGGAACATGTTCAGTGATTTACAAAAGCCAGCTAACGCATTTAACGAAGAAAGTTGGTTAGCGGCGGACCGTGTCATGCACTCGGTAGTCTGCGGAGCTAAACTGGTATTATTTACCATAGCTAGCTGCTTGTGGTTGGGCTGAACATGATTGATACAGGCTGACTTTCTCAAACCATATTGATTCCGGAAAAGTCCTCAAAATCGCTGCGATTTTTAAAGACACATTTCACAATAACTTCTTGGAATGGGCCAATTCATCGAAATGCGCGTTGGTGCTAGGAAAGACGATTTGTATCGTCACTACATGTGAAAAGCGGTGTAAGAGCAACGTTATTGGGCACCAGTCGCTGTGAACTCCGCCTACTTTGGCAGGCCTGCATCCATAAGCACCTCTATCATCCTCACCCTCTCACCTTTCTTTCTTGTTGAGTCTCTTCTCCGAACATAGATTGCTTATTTCTTTTATATCTAAGTTCCATGAGCTGTATAAATGCATAGATCAGCTATAAAGCGAAGTACTAAGGGAATAGGAATGTGTGACGCATTCTTAAATGAGGATAAACATAAATGAGGGATAAACAAATCAGCGCTTTATGCATCCTTTTTTATTTCTATTTTTCTTTCGTGTACTATGTTTGTTCATTGAATCATCATTTTTTCATAGTTAAATGTTGAGTTTTTTGAAAATAATATTTCAATGCAGAGGTGATATTTGTATAGCGAAAAGAGCAGGCTGTGTTAGGCTATAAATCATCGTTCAGTGCGGTCGTTTCTACAAACGACATAACGACCATTGAAGGATGTGAATTTGTGAACTTTGGTTCACATTCGAATGAGCAACACGGTGGATACCTGAACGTTGCCTGCGGAGTCGGTAAGGGCGCTTTTAGACATCATGGCAGCGTTTGAGGAATGTCAGTGATGAGCCGTATTCCAGGAATGTCAGAAGCCGAACTGGATGAGTTGTTCAACAGAATGACGGCAGCATATACAAAGTTCACTCGGAAGAACGGCTTTTTCATGGCAGGAGATGGCTATGGTCGCTCTACTCCTGATGATGTTGACGAAGAAAGTGATGAATAAGATTCAGGGTCCTGCACACGCCCACCCATAAATACCTATGATATTTATTTTTTAATGGGATGTAAATTTTACAGAGAGGTTTTTTCCAAAGTGAAGATATGTAATGTCATGTGATTTCCGCATTCATCTACCCCAGATCTCAGTTTTCTGAGCCAAAATTGTTTATCAATTTGCCTTATCAGTATTAAAGAACAGGAGTAATTGGTTGTCTACCTTAAGTTTATACTTCCACCTTTGTCGTTTTCTTTGCATGTGTACTTGAATGAGTATTGATTTTACGCGCACGCGGAATCAATATTAATTTGTCGCGGATGTACGCCGGAATGGGCAGTTTGATGAGAAGGCAATTGCAGTGTTGATAATTGTTGAATGTACACTACTGCAATTATTCTTCAGTACTTATTTTTGTACTTTTTTGTAATTCCTATGTTTCTACCTTGAATGGGAATGAGAGAATATAATAAATAGTTTATGACATGGTTCAGAATAAGCCTGTGTAGGGCAGCGCAGAAAAATCGGAGAAAACCTATCAACTAAAAATTATCCAGTCCTCGAAAATTCCCACTGATTTTGCACTTGGAGCAACAATCCCAGGTCAGGTCGTGACGAAGAATCTGTTTTGTGGGGGAGGAAAAAGTAGCCCAGGAGTATCACAGATGTGCGTTGTCGCGGCTCAAAGTGCGCGACAATGGCGCTAGGGCCTTACAAAGTGATCTGATGGCGACTAATGTGAACTTACGGACGAGATACCTCGCGCTCGCCCTCACGCAAAGTAGCGTAGCGGATAAGGTGCCGATAGGTAGATAGATATATTAGCCTCATTGCATTGATGTGGTCGTCCAAAATCACGTCCTTTCTACGCCATCATTTTCAGTCGCTGTTATCCCACCATTTCGAACAGGGGTTGTTGCTTTACTCTTCAAATGCGCATATCTCAGCTCAAACAATAGGCCTTCAAAACCATTATAATCCACATATTTGCTAAAAAGGAAACAGTTCCCACAATCCAACTGTTGCATGGTTAGATGATGATCAAGTTGTGCGATGTGCGGCCTGAAAAAC